GCGCGCGCGCGGGGGTGTGGGTGTGTGTGTGTGTGTGTGTGTGTGGCTCGCACTGCTGTAGGCCTCCGACACAATTATGGATGAACTCTCGGGATTGGAGATCTCGACCTTGTCCCTGGGCTTGCGTGCCTGGCCGATGGAACCGGAGTTCCCGCTGCAGTCAAGTGCTCGCTTTCGGCTGATGTTTCAGCCGCTGACACTGTGGAGGCCCGGGATGGCATAAGTGATGCGCTATGCAGGTTGGAAAACCAGGAGCATGACCACAAGGAAGGGGTAGGGATCTAGGGCTGAACCCCGTGCCTTGTAGGCTGGCGGAGTTCCCGAGCGATTGCAACGCCACGTGCGTCGCCGCTCCCGGCTTGAGCTGTTTGGATCAGCGCGGACTTCCCGTGGCGCCCTGTGAAGTGAAAGCCTTGGTGGACACGAACGCCGTGACCGGGGGGGTTCGAAAAGTACAATGGGCAGTTGTTGTTGCTGTTCATGTGTGGTTCGAGCTGGAAGAGACGTGCAGCTGTCGGGCGCTTCTAAGCCTAAGCATCAAGCCTCCACCTGCGTAGGCGCGGTGGTGTCGTAAGCTTCGCTGTGCCTTACGCTGAGGCCCAGTAACATGAAGTCGATGAAGTTGGGCCATAAACTGACTAGCTTTAGCATAGCACAATTTGCTTGGTTGCACTGAACTGTTGCCAGTGAGAGGAGTGACGTCCCGATGCAGCTGAACGTCATGGAATTTTCCTTCCCAAATGCATTTGACGAGATTCCCGAAGACCGATCTGACGAGGCGTTGCTCTGAGAGCTTTGCGTCTGTGCCGAGCTCAGGAGGTCTCCAATTTCTCCTTCCTGAGGCCCACTTGCTCGCCTTCCGTGGCTTGCGGCTTCCCAACGAGGGTTTCTTCACGATCTGTATGCTGGTGCAGTATTACGAGCTGCCAGATGTGTGCCTCGCAACAGACGGTCGAATCGAAAGACACCTGCAGTTCATTCAGCTTAAATTCACGTTCAAATCGCTCTTGATAGACTGCAGGCCACCGAGTATGGTGGAAGCCATGCCCTGCGCCAAAAAAGTGCCAACATCCACAGCAACATCCGGACGAATCTTGGTACCTCGGATGTGAATTCAGACCTGTGGGTCCACGGATGCTGGCGTATTGTCCCAAAGAGCAATCCTATCTGTTCGGGGTGGCTTTATGATAAGAACTTCGCCCGTTCCGATCTTGCAGCTCGAAGAGGCCCCCGTACTGCCCAGTGTCAGTCCCGGCAGTGTGGCATCAGCCAAGCCTGTGGCTCGCACCCTGCACGCTGTCCCGGCTTTCGTTTTCGTGATCTCAAGTTCCCGATGGCTTCGTCAGTTGCGGTTGTATCGATACTAGTCTTAGAGGCTTTTAAACTCAGAGTTATCACATCACCCGACCACAGGTTTTTGCACGTGCCTCGCCCGATTGCGTAAGTGTGAAGGCATCCGCCACGTGCGCACAAGAAACTCGCCAAGCTGCCGACAGCCTGTTCGCAGCTGACGTAGCTGTGCGAACACATGATGCTCACCCTTGCCAGATGGGCCTAGGTTGATGGGATGGTGCATTGATGCAGCAGCTTCCAGCTTCTAGGGATAATGTGCATCACAAAGAAAAGGCGCCTCTCTGCTTTCAAGTCCCAGGCCCGCGTGGCCTGCAGCCCGACTCCAAACCTTGTCATAATCAAGACAAGCTGCAGAACCAACGGTAACGGTTTGCCTCAAGGCTTTACGATACCAACAAGCCCAATACGCATAAATGTAGCTATGTATTTGATTGTGCATGAGGAGCACCCTTTCAATTTTCTACATCCTGTTCAGGTCGAAGGGCAGGCGGGCAATGGGCCGAAGCCCTTTGCCTTCGATCGGGATAACGAGCTGGTGCTCCGCCTTATCCTTGGCGCCTCCCTGCGGAATCTACCCAGCGGGAATGTGATCCTGGGAGAGAAACTTGGTCTTGCTCTTTGTTGCAAAAAACAGTCCGGAAAAGGCATAGCATGATAGGCTTGTGTCGAGCATGGCAAGGAATGAAACCGAAGTTCTTGTGCCAGCCGAAATACGAGTCCAGCTGCCGCCTGACTACATGTGCAGCGTGGTCGGCGATGGGACAGCAGATCCCGATGGCAGCAAGGGCTTCTTTACGCTTCTTGCCCGGAAAGTTGACAGCATCGAATAAGAGAGTCGTCAGATCTTGGTTTTCAGTCGAAGTGTTGGAGGCAAGACCTGAACAATGATGGCTACGCGGACAGTCCCATGGCTACTGTCCGCAGTGGGACGTGGTCGCTGCGGCCTTACTTGCGCAGATGACCTCGCAGGAGTCGATGGGCCAACTCGAGTCCGACATTTTGCCGGAAGCTTCTGCCTACAAGTCAGAAAACAGTTGAACGTAGAGCCTCTACACAAAGCCTCCCTTGCTGTCAGCCAGGAATGGCTCTCGAAATTCGGGGCTCATTTTCTCAGCCGCATGTTGGCCTTGTAGCCAGTAAGCTTGTGGCGAGCGTTGAAGTTCGGCTTGTCGCACCAATTTGCCCGGTGGTTTCAATGGAGGCTTCGGTCTTGCAAACTCAGGAACAGCCATTTTGCAACAGGCTCATTTGCAGCAAAGGTGTCACAACTTTGAAGCTTCGCCCAGAGTTTGATGATGGCCATTCGAAGTCGATGTTCTTTATCAGTTCCGCCAGTCAGTTGAGCAGGACACTCTGCTGAACCTTCTCCGTCTCATGTCACAGACTCATGGACGAATTGAATCCATGCTCTCTTCTGTCAATGCTCCCACCTTCATTCTGCTGCACCTGCTACTTGCACAAGTTTCCCATCGGGTCGTCAGCAGGGACGCTTTGTCGACCCGTTCTCCTGCAAGGAGATTTATAGAAGCAGACGAAAGTGGAAGACACACGTCCCCGGGTGGACATCATTTTTGGCCCAATCCTCTGCCGGTGACGCGATCCCGTCTTCATTTCCCAAACGCTGGGTTTCGCATGGTTCTGACTTTTCCACATTTTCCACCTTTGTCAGCTCTTCCAGAAACGTCGATGTGTTTTAAGGCCTTCCTATGTTGCAGGAAAGAAAGTCTTTCTTGCTTTAACCATGAACCTGTATCTGCAAACGTGGCTGACCGGAAAATTCGTCACTGACAAGGTCCCGCGAGTCTGTTTGCACATTCACGCTGGAAAGTACGGCAGCTCTCTTTGCGCGACTTGCTCATATCAGTCGGAGTTGTCTGTGGTTTGGGAGAGTGACAGTTGGGATGTCGCTCAGCCAAGGAATCAGTTTGTCGATGTACGTGTTTCAGTTGTCAATCCTCGGTTACCCTTGCGTAAAGATGACCCTCTAAATGTTTGGAGCATCCTTCTCATCTCACCCTACGGCGACACGCTTGGCGGTCCCGCACCTTTTATTTCGCTGGAAGATGAGAAGTCGCTCCCTGGATGGGCTGGAAACCTTGCCGTCCTTGGCAGGCTTGAAGGGGAGTCTATACAGCCCACAATCTTGGCTGAAGGCGCCAATAATACGCTCAATGTGTTTCTGCAGATGACACAAGCTATGCCGATGTATTCGTACTTGGTGATTGATGCACCGCCTGGATACGACTTCACCACGGCATGCGCTGCTGTTGATATGGATCCAGCTTACTACCAGGACGGTAACATAGATAGGCAGGACAACCATAGTTGAAACGGGAGTTGCGACTTCTTCTTTGCACTCGTTGAGGACTGGGAAGCGCTGCCTTGGGGTACCGAGATCATTGGACCTCGTGCAACGACCAGCTCTATTGGCCAGGATGTGAACTGCACGACAGCCTTTTGGACCCAGTAATGAGGTTATTGTACCCGAAGAGTTTTAGTGTTCTTTGTAACATCGCACCCAAGGACGATTGGCAGAGGCCCGCAGGAACTCCTCCTGCCACGGCTCCGTTCACGCGTGCGTACCTCCGCATTGGACGAACTCTGTTGCTCGGAGACCTTGCTGTGAACAGAACGGTGAGAACAGAACGGCCTTCTTTTTGGTCGGCGCAGTGCGTGTGCCTCAGGAAAGTACTATGCGTTCCAGATCAATATCACTAATGCAATGGAGTGGAACATCAGTCAACACTCACAATGGCGACTCTGGCTGCAGAGTCCAGCAGGCTACATGGTTGATGGCTCAACGCAGCTTTCCTCTTTTTTATCATTTTTGCAGATGTGTTTCCATCATAGGCAGGCAACAGCAGGTTGCGAAGCGAGGTGCAGGCGAGGTGCATTTTCGTTACTGTAGTTCAGGTATCCGGTCCAGTTCAATGCGGCCCGCATTGACACGATACCTGTGTTGCCTCACGATCTTGGCTGGGCAGTTTACGATTCCGACATGAAGCTCCCTCTGACTTTGAATTTCGGAGCTGCGCGACCCTTGATGCGCAAAACAGCAGGGCAGAAGCTATGCGAAAACCTCATGGATCTGCGTTTCTGCTGGTTGGATGTGAGGGCGATTGCTATGTGACTCCGGGATATGCACGCAGGTCCAGGGTCCTAGGTTTCTATCAGAGAGTGATCTACTCACGCCAGGGAGGCAACATGCACACAGGGTATCTTGGCACCTGGCTGTTGAGAATTCGGGAGGTTCTGCCTTGTCTGAAGTTTTTCAATTGCAAGGACTTCTGCCCACCGTTGCTTTCGAAATGAGCGCCTTCCTGACCGTGTACCCTCTGACACCTTCCTCAGATGGGCAGCCTCTGCATGTACGCGTTCTGGCTCCTGTGGGCTATGTCTGGATCCCACATGCTGAGCAAGGTTGGCTGGGCTACGTTCCCAACGTGACCTGCCGCTTTTGCGAGCTCTTCGTAACACCGGAGGTCAGGTACGAGAACGAGCTCCTTTTGCCGGAGGTGATCATGCGCCTGAACCAGAACTTCGGCTTCGTGGTTCGCCTTCGGGTTCCTACCCGACCACCCACTCGCTCCACGAATGCCTTCTTCTTGGAGCACCTTGGCTCCGTTGGCCTCCTTTCCTCCGTGTTTGTCACGTGAACGCCGCAACGCCAAAGGTTGGGATACAACCCCGCAGAATTCAACCTGGACCGAATGCAAGCAGCCTCCTTCCCGGCACCTCCGCTCCGAGTGGTCAACGACGTGAGCGTCGCATCGTTGTGCAACATGGCGGGCTTTGCAGATAATGTCCTTGACTTCAGCCTCCGGATTGCTTCTCCACTGGCAGACGCATGGTTGCAGCATCACCTTACGCTCACACTCCATTCTGCATTTTTCTAAGAGACTGCACGCTGTTGAAATGTGCGACAATGTGTCTCCCCTGAGCTCGTGAAGGAAAGCGATGGCATCCTTCTAGCCGGTGATGAACTCACTCGTGGCACTCTGCTACGTTGCTGGCCAGAGGTCTTACCAGGGATGCTCGGTATTACACCCGAAAACGGGCACTGCTGCTTGGCTTTTGCTGGCCATCATCGGGCGAAAGTTAAGTGCTCCATTCATGTATCTGACTGTCGACCGATCTATCTGTCCGCGTGTGTTTAGAAGAACTGTTATAACAAGAAATTACCTCCACACGCAGCTGTATAAGCTATATATATATATACACACATACAATATATATATATATCTGTGTGTGTGTAGGTAGTGTAGCTAAGTGCCGAATGGGGATCCGTCGCATTCTTCAGTGTCTCGACAGCCGGCTCCGTTTCCTCCTGAGACTGAGAATGTATATCCAAGTACTTCCCTGGAGTATTTACGTGCTAAACTAAACACAAGCATGAACGTCTTGCACTTCTGGTAGAGCGTAGGCGTGTTCGTGCCAGTAGTCTTCAGCCTAATGGTTGAGATCTCACCTTTCCTCTGCGATATTTTGCGATTTCTTGACGATCATTGAATCATCCCTATGTCTTCTTTGTTGTACAGTGGTTGGGGCCGTGAACCTCGGTTTCCGATCACCAGGTCTGACGCTTCGAGCACCTGTGAGAGAGAGAGAGAGTGTAGCTAAGTAAGCAAGTCTGTATGAAGGTATGTACATATATCTATGTATGTATGCATGCATGTATGCATGTATGTATGCATGTATGTAGGTAAGTAGGTGCATACGTACTTACATAGGTGAGTGTGTTTTTATATATATATATACACATACAGTACAGTTTTGTATGTATATAGGCGCTTGTCTGACTATGTATAAGTATAAAACATGTACTAACCAACAAATGAATACACAAACTTACAGGCAAATATCTAAATAGATGACCAAACGAACAAAGGAATGCATGAACAAATGTGAAAAGCAAAAGAATACGTAACATAACGATCACATAAACACATAGTCAAACAAACAAGTACAGTAAAGGCAAATAACTGAGTACATAGAAAAATGAAAATAAACGAATATATATGTGTGTGTGTGTGTCTGCATATGCACACACACGCACACACACACACACACACATATATATATATATGTATGTATGTATATATATATATATACATCACATATTCACACACACATACATACATACATACATACATACATACATACATGTGCACATTAAACCTTCATGTATGTGTGTGTATTTATATTATTTACGGGCTGCCGCCAG